GTTCCTATAATTTATCATGTGATGGGCGATCTCAATTTTCTATAGAGAGCTGCAAGAGGTGGAAGGGAGATGTCCAGCTCATGACTTTTTCAGCAAAGGTCAAGGTTTGCTTATCACAACATCCTGGGGCTATAGGGAAAGATAAAATACAACTGAATGATAAGTTTTGTTAAAACATCCTCCCGCCAGTAGGCAGGAGTGGTTTGTGTTCTTCACTGCATGTGAGGTGAAGCAGTCTAGCAGTCCATCCATTGGACTGCTAGACAGAGAAGCTCTGTGATCGAATGAGTAATGGCAGTGTAGGACCTGGCATGCAGTGGCATATCAATGGATTGCAGCAAGACAACACTGTATTAATTGGATAAGTGAGTATATGCACTATATTGCCAAAAGTATTGGGCCCCCCTGCCTTTACACACGCATGAACTTTAATGGTGTCCTAGTCTTAGTCCGTAGGGTTCAATATTGAGTTGGTCCACCATTGCAGCTATAACAGCTTCAACTCTTCTGGGAAAGTTGTCCACAAGGTTTAGGAGTGTGTCTATGGGAAGGTATAACCCTTCTCCCAGAAGTGCATTTGTGAGGTCAGGCACTGATGTTGGATGAGAAGGCCTGGCTCGCAGTCTCTGCTCTAATTCATCCCAAAGGTTTTCTATCAGGGTTGAGGTCAGGACATCCCCAAACTGTTCTCTCAAAGTTGGGAGCATGAAATTGTTCAAAATGTCTTGGTATGCTGATGCCTTAATAGTTCCCTTCACTGGAACTAAGGTACCAAGCCCAATCCCTGAAAAACAACCCCAAACCATAATCCCCCCTCCACCCAACTTTACACTTGGCACAATGCAGTCAGGCAAGTACCGTTCTCCTGGCAACCACCAAACACAGACACATCCATTGGACTGCTAGACAGAGAAGCGTGATTTGTCCCTCCAGAGAACACGTCTCCACTGTTCTAGAGTCCGGTGGTGGCATGCCTTACACCACTGCATTGCACTTATTTAGCTGATGTAGCCCTGGTTCACATTGGTGCGGAATTTGCTGCGTTTTCTGTGTGAAATTCCAGACTGCATCAGAATCGCACCCCGTTCTTGCAAACCGCTGCCGGTGTGCATGTTAAGTTAACAACACCCCGAAATCGATCCGCAAAACGCGATGCAATGTGCAGAATCGGATTGCATAGGTGTGAATATCCATGCAATCCGATTCTAGTGCGGACCAAAAAAAAGGATCCTGCACGTTTTTGGTGCGGGTGCAGTGTGATTAGAGCCATATGTCTAACCATGTGGTGCAGTTCCTGTGCGAATCACATGCAATATGCCGCACCGCATATATGTGAACCCAGGCGTAAGGCTTGGATGCAGCTGCTTAGCCTTGGAAACCATCTCTACACACTGTTGTTGTGCTAATCTGAAGGCCACATGAAGTTTGGAGGTTTTTAGCTATTGACTCTGCAGACAGTTGGTGACTTCTGTGCACTGTGGGCTTCAGCATGCGCTGACCCCATTCTGTCATTTTACGTGGCCTACCACTTTGTGGCTGAGTTGCTGTTGTTCCCAGTTGCTTCCACTTTGTTATAATACCACTAACAGTTGACCGTGGAATATTTAGTAGCCAGGAAATGTCACAGATGGACTTATTGCACAAGTGGTAACCTATCACGGTACCACGCTTGAATTCACTGAGCTCCTGAGTGCGACCCATTCTTTCACAAATGTTTGTAGAAGCAGTCTGCATGCCTAGGTGCTTGATTTTATACACCTGTGGCCATGGAGGTGATTGGAACACCAGAATTCAATGATTTTGAGGAGTGTCCCAATACTTGGCAATATAGTGCATTTAGAGGATAACCCAGTGAACAAAGTAAGAGGGGATTAAAACATCGTAAGACGAGGAGTAGACTGAAGTTCCTCAAAGGATAAGACCAAATATGTTAGGGATTCTACTGTAAAGAAATGGTTAATATCATGCTGCTAAGCTGTGCAGCAGAGCCATTTCTTTTACACAAGGGCCTGTCTGCTTTAAAATGAAATCCTCCACCTCTAGCCGAAATGTACTTACAGCTTTTATTACAGCTTAAATAATCCACATAATGTAAATGTCTAACAATCAATATAAGGTAAGTACATTTCCCATAAGTAATATCTAAAACCTTCTACAACACAGTTGCTCGTTGCAGACTGCTTAATGCAAAATTACAAGTAAAGTGCTTCATATATTCTATAATTAGGCTTACAGCGTATCTAAAACGCAGAACAAAAATGAAACACATTTCAGTTTACATGTGGGGTGGCTACATAAGTTTTCTTTTCTTCAGGCTGCCATTCCCTTTATTTTAATAAGGTGATCCTGCCACTAACACATTCCTGTCCTAGGGTGACACACATCTCTCACTGTTTCTGTGAAGAAGTAGTGTTATTAATGTAGGACAAGACTAGAACCCCCCCCCCACTCCTTAGAATAGTGGGAGAGGTTCTGTAGTCCTTGGAGATAGCTGGCAATAATATAACTGATAACAGTTCAAAACAGGCAGAGAGCACAGGTTATCAGCTTAGAAGATTTCTGGCAGGATCATCAGGTATTTTTGCACTTATCAAACATGTGTTAAAAAAAATTTTAAATGGTATATTTAAAGGATAAGTCCACCTTTCATAACATGTTACATGTTATGTTCATATTCAGGGTATAACACGTAACATGCTATGATCAGACCAGCCCCGCTACCCCCCCTCCCCTGCTTTGACAGCTGGCATGGATCTTCTCCCCCCTGGCTAGCTGTCAAATTATTTTTAAAACATGGTCTTGCGGGGCTACACCCACGCCCCCCGTCACTCATTCATTCACTGTGTTCTGTGCCTGAGCCTTAGCAGCTGTTGGCTTGTAGTTCTCAATGAACTACCACGCCGCTGTAGAGTGCTAGTTCATTGATTCTTCCTGACAGAGTGTGTCTGCTTGCTCGTACATCCCGTATGGGCATACAGATATACTGACAGGTCTGCAGGAGACCTGCATGGCACCAGCGATCTACTGTTCACTGGTGCAATGCTTTACAGAATCCTGATTTAATCCGTTTCCAAAAAAACAATGGTATTGTACTCATAGAAACCCATTGCAGCCAGGGTCTATCTTTCACTGATCTGACCAGTTGATGGAAACCTGATTGGCCAATGTCAGTGTCTGACCTTTGTGGATCATCAATGAACTGCCATACTGAATAGATCTCACTATTTCCCAGGAATGTGATCATCAAGAGGTCATACCAGCTTTTATTTGTTAAGTTGACCATACACTAGAAAGAATTTTGGTTAAAAAAATTTGTTTGCAGAACGCTTGTTCAATTTTCTAATCATTAGTTGGATCAAAAGGTTTAGAAAAGGAGCAGGATAAAAAAATTTTCTGGAACTAACAAATTTCTATCAGAAATGTGGTTTTCATTTAGAAAGGTTCATTCATTCTCAAACTGAATCTTGAAGCAGCAGAAAAGTAATTTTAATTGACATTTGTCAAGTCACCGAACGTACTGATGAGAATTTTCGAACAAATGTTTGTACAAATGTTCATTTGAAAATCTACTAGTCTATGGCCAGCTTTAGGATATACAAATCAAATATCAAACAAGTCCTTATGTATGTAGGATTGGACCTGAAAATAAAAGCTCAATTCTTTGGGAGGTTCCTCATCATTAAAATTGATGTTTCCCATGAACCATGTACAGTGGGGATCGAAAGTTTGGGCACTCCAGCTAAAAATTTGTATTAATGTGCATAGAGAAGACAAGGAAAGATGGAAAAATCTCCAAAAGGCATCAAATTACAGATTAGACATTCTTATAATATGCCAACAAAAGTTAGATTTTATTTCCATCATTTACACTTTCAAAATAACAGAAAACAAAAAAATGGCGTCTGCAAAAGTTTGGGCACCCTGCAGAATTAATATCTTGTACTGCCCTTTTTGGCAAGTATCACAGCTTGTAAACGCTTTTTGTAGCCAGCCAAGAGTCTTTCAATTCTTGTTTGAGGTATCTTTGCCCATTCTTCCTTACAAAAGTCTTCCAGTTCTTTGAGATTTCTGGGCTGTCTGTCACGCACTGCTCTTTTAAGGTCTATCCATAGATTTTCAATTATGTTGAGGTCAGGAGATTGTGAAGGCCATGGCAAAACCTTCAGTTTATGCCTCTTGATGTAATCCCCCGTGGATTTCGAGGTGTGTTTAGGATCATTATCCATTTGTAGAAGCCATCCTCTCTTTAACTTCAGCTTTTTCACAGATGGCATCAAGTTACCATCCAAAATTTGCTGAAATTTTATTGAATCCATTTTTCCTTCTTCTCGTGAGATGTTCCCTGTGCCACTGGCTGCAACACAACTCCAAAGCATGATTGATCCAACCCCATGCTTAACAGTTGGACAGAGGTTCTTTTCATTAAATTCTGTGCCCCTTCTTCTCCAAACGTACTTTTGCTCATTCCGGCCAAAAAGTTTAATTTTAACCTCATCGGTCCACAGAACTTGTTTCCAAAATGCATCAGGCTTGTCTATATGTTCATTTGCAAAGTTCAAACGATGATTTTTGTGGTGAGGACGTAGAAGAGGTTTTTTCTTCTGATGACTCTTCCATGAAGACCATATTTGTACAAGTATCTCTTTATAGTGGAATAGTGTACCACAACTCCAGTGTCTGCCAGATCTTTCTGGAGGGATCGTGCAGTCAAATGTGGGTTTTGAATTGTTTTTCTCACAATCCTGCGAGCTGTTCTGTCTGATATTTTTCTTGGTCTTCCAGATCTTGCTTTAACTTCCACTGTTCCTGATGACTGCCATTTCTTAATTACATTCCGAACAGAGGATATTGACATCTGAAAACGCTTTGCTATCTTCTTATAGCCTTCTCCAGCTTTATGAGCGTCAACTATTTTCAGTTTCAGTTTTCTAGACAACTGCTTAGAAGAACCCATGGTGCTGATTGTTGGGGCAAGGTCAGATGAGTCTGGGCATTTAAAACCTTTGAGATTGACATCACCTGGTCTTCCCAGATGATGATTGAGAACAATCCATGACACTGGCAGGTCTCAGCTTGGCAAAGGGGGCAGTGCATGCTATAAATTCTGCAGGGTGCTCAAACTTCTGCAGACGCCATTTTTTTGTTTTCTGTTATTTTGAAAGTGTAAATGATGGAAATAAAATCTAACTTTTGTTGACATATTATAAGAATGTCTAATCTGTAATTTGATGCCTTTTGGAGATTTTTTCCATCTTTCCTTGGCTTCTTTATGCACATTAATACAAATTTTTAGCTGGGGTGCCCAAACTGTATTCCCATTAATTTTGATTTATGCATGGCCAGCTTAATGTACAACACTGTCTAGCACTAAAAGGCCTCATGCACACTGGGCGTTTGCTCCCCTGAATGCCGTTTTCCCTGGAAGGAGAAAAGCTACTTAAAAACGCGCCTACGCATTTTGTACATACAGTTGTGCTCAAAAGTTTGCATACCCTGGCAGAAATCACAAAATTTTGGCATTTATATTGAAAATATGACTAATCATGCAAAAAAAAACTGTTTTTTTTAAGAATAGTGATCATATGAAGCCATTTATCATCACATAGTTGTTTGGCTCCTTTTTAAATCATAATGATAACAGAAACCACCTAAGTGGCCATGATCAAAGTTTACATACCCTGGAATGTTTAGCCTTGGTACAGACACACAAGGTGTCACGCACAGGTTAAAATGGCAATTAAAGGTTAATTTCCCACATCTGTGACTTTAAATTGCAATTAGTGTCTGTGTATGAATAGTCAATGAGTTTGCTAGCTCTTATGGATGTACGGATCAGGCTAGATACTGAGCCCTGAGGATCAGAATTGAACTCTCAAAAGACCTGTGTGACAAGGTAATGGAACTTTATAAAGATGGGAAAGGATATACAAAGATATCCAAAGCCTTGAATATGCCAATCAGTACTGTTTAATCACTTATTAAGAAGTGGAAAATGCAAGGTTTTCTTGATACTAAGCCAAGGTCAGGTAGACCAAGAAAGACTGCAGCCACAACTGCCAGGAAGCCGGAGGCAGAGACTGCAAATGTAATATGCAAAAAAGTTTTCTCTCTCTCTCTCTCTCTCTGTATATATTATATATATATATATATATATATATATATATATATACATATATATATATATGGACACCAGGAGCAAGAGCTTAACTCCTGCCACTTTACATGGCAACAAAGGTAATCTGCAGAGTAGAGTTGGGACTTGCCAGAGAGGTATCTCCACTTTGATGCAGCTGGCCAACTTGAACATATATCGCAATATATGTGAACTACAAATCCCTGTTTTTTAAGCAAAATTTGTTATGAATATGTATGGGTGTATGGTGGTATGTAGAGAGTTAACATGGAATTTTTTAATGTGTTAATGTGTGGTTAAAACCCTTTAGCATCCCATGTGTTGTATATAAGAAGGCCATTTAGGCTCCGAGCACAGGCATATTTCCTATTCTATGGCATAGTGCAGGTTGATGATTTAAAATCAGGATGCCTGAAGTTGCTGGAACATTTTTTTAGTGCAGCAATAAATAATGTTCTCTTGTGCTATTACCCCTCCTGTTCTGCTTGTTTTGGGGGACACACCAAACCTTATGTGCAGATAACTAATTTTTCCTGCTGGTGATGTCTAGAGATGAGCTTTGGAATCCTACAAACTCTTCTATCCAAAACATCAAAATTGCACTTTTTATAGTCCA